AAATGCGCAATATCGGTCCATGTTTTCGGATAGCCCCCATACAAGTGGACCCCCGAAAAACAGCTTTAACGGGCATAACTGATTTAAAAGTTTCATATGAGACAAAATCTCTCTACCAAATTTTGTGAGGATTGGTCCATAATTGACCCTAACCCTGACATATAAGGTCCCCTTCAGAAATAGACTTAATTTCCAAAAAATACGAGTATAGTGATGAAATTTGACATAAGTAAGTTTTTTACGAGCCAAAACCTCCCTACCGACTTTTTGGATAATCTGCCCATAATTGACATTAACGCACATTAGTTGCTTAAAAATGCGTGTATGGCGATTAAATTCTATATAAACAAATTCTGTGAGGAGAAAAACCGCTCTTTGTGAGAATCACTTCATACCTTACCCCCATATAAGGTCCCCTTCAGGAAATAACTTCAACGGTCATTAATGGCTTAAAAATATGATTAAAGCAATGAAATTCGACACACATAAGTTTTATACGAGACAAAATCTCTCTATCAAATTTAGTGAGGACCGGTCCATAATTGTCCCTGGCTCCAATATAAGGCCCCCTTTACAAAATTACTTTAACGATCACTGCTGTTATGAAACAGTTATGAAATTCGACATTGGAAACTTTTATAGGAACGTAAATCTTCCAACCGAATTTCATTCGGAGTGTGTCGGTAACTCCCATATAAGCCCCCCTTGAGAAAATTACTTTAACGCTTATTACTGACATAAAAATGCGAGTACAGCAATGATTCGATGTAAACAAATTGAATATAAACCAAACTAGGAATACAAAATTTTATGAGGATCGGTCAATAATTGACCATACCACTCATAAAAGATTCTTTTCTGAAAATGTGATGAGGATGATTCAGAAAATTACGAGTATAGCAATGAAAATCAACATAAAAAAGGTTATACTTAGGAGCATAATTATTCATTTTTAATGAGGATTGATCTATAACTGACCTTAGCCTCTATAAAATGTTCCCTTCAGAAAAGGGTTTTGCTTATTAAAATACGAGTTTTCCTTATTTAACATAAACAAGTTCTATACAAAACAAAATCTATGTACAAAAATTTATGAGTATTTGTTCATAGTGGACGCATATAAGATGCCCTTCAGAAAATTACTCATATTCATTAAAATATGTTACCGTATAGATGATGATGCCAAGACTTATGATGTATCGGCCGGTGTTAGGACCCTTGCTTTGGAACATTATGTATAATGACGTACTTATGTTAGATATACCGGAAGAGGCGAATATAGTCGGCACTGCAGACGGCAAGTGTCGACAAGATAGTATCTTGATGAAGTAGCAATGTTTGCCAATGAAACCAAGGGAATTATAAGAACATGGATTCAAAGCGTAAGACTTAAACTAGCGGGTTAAACTGCTAGGGTAAACTTTAGAGCCCATTGGTCTCATGTCAAAAGTCATCAAATGTTCTTACATACATATAATCAGATACGTAAGTACTTTTTTCTGGAGTTTTGATGTTTTATTTGTTAGCGAGCATAAGTACTTAGCTCAAATGTCACCATCGTGTTAAAATGATGAATTAAAATGCTAATGAAGAAGTAGTGAAAGGCGTCTTTTAAATCTTATTTAACTCATTACTTTTCAATGTATGTTTTTGCTAAATATTAAACCAAGCAATTAAGTTTTTTTTTTTTTAATGTTAGACTTTGTATGCCGAAGATCTCAGATCTCGAAAATTTAGTTGGTTGCACCTAGGCAACAAATAAAATTTTTCCGCATTTTTGGATTTTGTAATATCTTTAGACGTGAAATTTCGTTATCCTTTAGTTCCATTTCCGATTGCTATAAATTATGTATATTGTATATGCATTCAGTACCACTTTAATTTATTTCAAAACTGCCTTTACAATACAACAACTATACATACATACTGTGTGGTAAAATTTTAATGTTTTTTTCTTTTACTTAATTAATGTTGATATTCAAACAATTTTCTTTATCTCATTTAAGTCCATTCATAATGTGTGAGATTTGTTTTGGTAAAAGTATGTACATACATATGTGGTGTTGGTCATTCGAAATGTGTTTCAGTTGTTGAGTTGGCATAGTAATGTTAGCCAGGATGTAACCAAGAGTAGTAGTATTTTCCATAATTACATTACTATTTAAGGGTTTCATTTGAATGACATTTCAATGAGTTTGGATTTGAATTCATGCATTTACGTGTATGAGTATGTGAGGAACAAATCTGGAATGTTTTTTGTAGATGACACTTATCTATTAATAGAACTTACCACATCATGGACAAAATATTTAGATTTATATCAAATACTTAGAATGGAAAATTTGGAGTTTAAATATTCATTAATCCAAATGTTTTATTTTTAAAGATTTTTTTTATTCTCAGATATGAGAACTGTTAAAAATTGTATATAGTTACACTAATGAAAAATAAGATTAAAAGTAAGGGGATTACAATGATAAAATTTACTTACACAATGGCACTATAAATCATTACTTTATTTAGTACTTACAACGATCGCTTGCCAATGGGGAGTTATACGAGGTACGTCTACTGAGTCTATTTTAAGTTTGCACATAAAAATATGTCAAGACTAAAAAAGATGTGCTTAGGTAATATATTGTATGTAAGTCATTACAGGAGCGTACAATAGACAACTAACGATGTAACAAGCAAACTAACTAACTAACTAACTAACTAACTAACTAACTAACTAACTAACTAACTAACTAACTAACTAACTAACTAACTAACTAACTAACTAACTAACTAACTAACTAACTAACTAACTAACTAACTAACTAACTAACTAACTAACTAACTAACTAACTAACTAACTAACTAACTAACTAACTAACTAACTAACTAACTAACTAACTAACTAACTAACTAACTAACTAACTACTAACTAACTAACTAACTAACTAACTAACTAACTAACTAACTAACTAACTAACTAACTAACTAACTAACTAACTAACTACTAACTAACTAACTAACTAACTAACTAACTAACTAACTAACTACTAACTAACTAACTAACTAACTAACTAACTAACTAACTAACTAACTAACTAACTAACTAACTAACTAACTAACTAACTAACTAACTAACTAACTAACTAACTAACTAACTAACTAACTAACTAACTAACTAACTAACTAACTAACTAACTAACTACTAACTAACTAACTAACTAACTAACTAACTAACTAACTAACTAACTACTAACTAACTAACTAACTAACTAACTAACTAACTAACTAACTAACTAACTAACTAACTAACTAACTAACTAACTAACTAACTAACTAACTAACTAACTAACTAACTAACTAACTAACTAACTAACTAACTAACTAACTAACTAACTAACTAACTAACTAACTAACTAACTAACTAACTACTAACTAACTAACTAACTAACTAACTAACTAACTAACTAACTAACTAACTAACTAACTAACTAACTAACTAACTAACTAACTAACTAACTAACTAACTAACTAACTAACTAACTAACTACTAACTAACTAAACTAACTACTAACTAACTAACTAACTAACTAACTAACTAACTACACTAACTAACTAACTAACTAACTAACTAACTAACGAACTAACTAACTAACTAACTACTCAACTAACTAACTAACTAACTAACTAACTAACTAACTAACTAACTAACTAACTAACTAACTAACTAACTAACTAACTAACTAACTAACTAACTAACTAACTAACTAACTAACTAACTAACTAACTAACTAACTAACTAACTAACTAATAACTAACTAACTAACTAAGCTAACTAACTACTAACTAACTAACTAACTAACTAACTAACTAACTAACTAACTAAACTAACTAACTAACTAACTACTAACTAACTAACTAACTAACTAACTAACTACTAACTACTAACTACTAACTAACTACTACTAACTACTAACTAACTAACTAACTAACTAACTAACTAACTAACTAACTAACTAACTAACTAACTAACTAACTACTAACTAACTAACTAACTAACTAACTACTAACTAACTAACTAACTAACTAACTAACTAACTAACTAACTAACTAACTAACTAACTAACTACTAACTAACTAACTAACTACTAACTAACTAACTAACTAACTAACTACTAACTAACTAACTAACTAACTACTAACTAACTAACTAACTAACTAACTACTAACTAACTAACTAACCTAACTAACTAACTAACTAACTAACTAACTAACTAACTAACTAACTAACTAACTAACTAACTAACTAACTAACTAACTAACTAACTAACTAACTAACTAACTAACTAACTACTAACTAACTAACTACTAACTAACTAACTAACTACTAACTAACTAACTAACTAACTAACTAACTAACTAACTAACTAACTAACTAACTAACTAACTAACTAACTAACTTACTAACCTTACTAACTAACTAACTAACTAACTACTAACTAACTAACTAACTAACTAACTAACTAACTAACTAACTAACTAACTAACTAACTAACTAACTAACTAACTAACTAACTAACTAACTAACTAACTAACTACTAACTAACTAACTAACTAACTAACTAACTAACTAACTAACTAACTAACTAACTAAATAACTAACTAACTAACTAACGTAGAAAGCTTCAAGATAATCGTCGAACAATCCGATGAATGCCGCTCTTGTATTTATCTTAAGTTCATTCACTTTGGGACATTAATAGGTATGATCAAGCTGCAATGGGGTCTCTGAAGCATATTGTCAGGTGCTACATGGATGAATGGTCAAGTAAATGTCCAAAAATTAAGCGAATCTGTCAATCCTCGACACAACCATTTCTCTGCGGTGCACTGGTGGCGCACCCTAACATATAAAGTGCATACTAGACATGGTTGGAATAATCGAACAATTTTTTGTCATGATACCGACTCACTTCTGAAATCAATTATAAATCACATTTTTCGAATTTTATGATGACCGTTTCATAAACGATCAATTCGTATTGCAAAGAATTTATTGTTTTTTTTTTAATTTTATATTAATTACTTTATTTACAATAATTCGTTCTAGTTAATTTTGCTCTAAATTGTATTGCCATTAAACAGCCTTTCAAATAGCTGGGCCCAAAGCAAACATATTAAAAACATATTGTGTCAATTTGCTCAAATATATTTGGTAACGGCGCAATGTTTTGATGGGACGCGATATATCACGATTGATCTAAGACAAAGAAAAATTACAAATAAATACAAATGGTATTTGTCATAATTTAAAAAAAAAATACTTACAAATCCTTGCATGACATTAGCTTGGAAAGTGGGATTACGAATTACACCATAGAATTTAGCAAATTCTTTATTTTCAGCTACCTGCATCTTTAAAGTATTGACCAATTCTTGTTGAGGTATTAAGGCGCCAACTTGCTGCACAAACGTCTCCAATGAACGAGACTCAACGACAGTATTAAAGGAAGATCTAAAATTACCAGTGGCTTCTACGAGTATAGGTATCAGAACACAATTGAATATTTTACTAACACTATCTATGTCGGTGGTATTAACACCAGCGTTGGTGAATTGTTTTAAAAAGCTCTGGTATACAGCTGTGGCATCGATTTTTGCTGTAGTTTTATCAAAATCTGGCGAGAGCATATATTGCACGGCTTTACGAAATCTGATGTCAGTTTGCATATGGTTTTGTATGAGTGCAATGACAGAGGCTTTAGGGGCTAAATTTCGTATTACTTGAAATTCCTGACATAAACCTAAATTCCTAGTTGAGCCCCCACTACAGTCATCAGCTTGAACAGCACTCAACAAGCAGCAGGCACTGAGAAGACCCAATAAACACAATTTCTTTTTTAACATGTTTCCTTTTTTATTCGTTTCTATTTTGTTTTTCGCGGAATAACTTAAAGTTTATTTGCTTAAACTCTACTAACTGAAATTCCTGTCTTAGAAGACACTTTTATAGTATTTTTTGTGTCTATGCCAAGGTGAGTTCTTGAACTGTGACGTCATTGTGAAGGCCGTTATCAGTGAAGGCGTTACACGAGTAAAACCGGAATTTTCAAAAACAAATGTCGTCAACAATTACATGCAATTAAATTAGTTGCAATTTGTGTTTTTTTGCCGTTTACTTATTTCTTGTTAATTGTATATTTTCAAGTTGATGGCAAATATTTTTCAAATATTTCCAAGAATTCTTATCGGTTATTTTTATCATATTTTAATTAAATAAATTTAGAGAAATAATGAAGTCTAGTTTAAAGTATTTGTTACTTACGACTTGTAATATTGATATAGCAATTACTTAATTGTGTAAAATGAATCAATAATAGGAGTGTTTTATATTCCTATGAAAAATGACTTTAATGACTAGCACTATTTGACACAGTTATCGATCAAGAATTTCTGAATTTAGATCCACTATTAACCTCTTTAAAGTATGAACAGATAAATTTCAGAATAATGTCAACTATAGAGTCTACGCCCAACAACTATAAAGATTTATGAGCTTAAAGGTGTTTTCGGCAAAAGGCCTTCAATGGGTTCTTCACAAAATTATGCACTGAACCCAAAAATAAGTACAGATTACTGAATTCTGAATTACTGAAATCACACCAAAAGAAAGAAACCGACAAAATAATTTAATGTCGACTTTTAATATGAAAACGAGGACACGATTATGAACATGGAGTGGAGTGTGCTGGAGCAAAGAGTGCTCACTGTACAATATGTAAATCTTGGGCCTTGCTGAAATGGGCAGACTATGAGGAGTTTGGAACATCAAACAACTTTACTATATTATACTGGAGGAAGGCGACAAAATGCTCGTAATTATATTATCAAAATTTGCACGAAAGGAAATTTCAGAGTGGAATTCATAGGAGCCAGAAATCTCAATTTTATAACATGCACCAAAGCAAACAACGCAACCTCCCCCCCCCAAACAACAACACAACGTTCCACGACAATCGGTTCTTCGCACCAGAACGACTCGGAGTTCAACGAACAACGACCGAGGATTGTCAACCCAACCACACCGACTTTACACGTGTTGCTGCTACAACAAAACACAAAGCAAACAACACAACCTAACCACCCCCCCCCCCCCCAAACAACAACACAACGTTTCCACGACAATCGGTTCTTCGCACCGGAACGACTCGGAGTTCAACGAACAACGACCGAGGATTGTCAACCCAACCACACCGACTTTACACGTGTTGGTGCTACAAAAAAAAAACACCCTCCCCTCCAAAAATGTTACTTTGATGATTTTAAATCGCGGGAAGGGACTCTTGGTTAACGGTTCCGGGGAAAAGAGGTGGTACCGATACCTCTAGTCTGCCGGGACTGTAAACTGGTGATGATTAAATGTATCCTCGGGATTTAGATACCAGACAATCTGGTACTACGTAGAGGCTGTGGTTTAAATCGCGGAAAGGGACTGTTGGTTAACGGTTCCGGGGAAAAGAGATGGTACCAATACCTCTAGTCTGTCGGGACTGTAAACTGGTGATGATTAAATGTATCATCGGGATTTAGATACCAGACAATCTGGTACTACGTAGCAGCTGTGGTTTAAATAGCGGGAAGGGACTCTTGGTTAACGGATTGCTGCACTGTGAAATGATAATTTTTCTGGCTAAGTTTCTGTTACCGTTCCTAGATTCTAGGAATGGTACAAACCAAAGGATTTGATTTGATAATGTAAATATTGGGTAGTAGATGATGTTATTGTGGTTTAATACTGGAATTGACGGTTGAGTTGGGTATACCTTAATCTTTAATTTATCGTTTTTTTTTTTTACTCTTAAACATATTCAAACACATAGTATTGTCAATTACATATGGATCCATACTTCGGTCCACCATTTACGTCCCTAGGTGCTGTTGCCGAAACAACAGAGCAGAGAGAAACAACATATCAGGAGTGTGGTTGCGTGGTTGTTTTAGGGAAGAGCATTCCTCATAACATTAATAGGGTGTTTTCACCTGATGTTGGGTGCGTCCCTTCAATTGGCAATAAATTAATTGTTGCCTTTTCCTTGTCGGAATATGTATTGGGCTTGTCTCATGATACCTGTTTGCGGAATCAGAGATATCATTAGGGGCTATTATGGCAAGAGATAGCTTGAGAACCGAGAAACTGAGAAAGGTAGACTTTATAAAAGGGCTTTACTGAGGATTGAACTGGTATATATTGCATTAAAGTGCGTTAATATCTCAAGTGAGATAGTATTAAAATTAATATAGGAGTCCAATAGGGGATGTAATATTTCCCTAACGCTTTTTAACATCATATTGGATGTTGTCATTAAGCATGCTCTAGAAAATCATAGAAGCATTATTTGGGGACTGCGGGGGTTTTTACACGACCACGACCATGCTGAAGATCCAAAAACTAGACACGCATGCTACGTTCACTGCTAGAAGGATTTCCCCGGGAGGATTTACAATTATTCTAATTCTTCTAGTCACCTTAAAAACATAGGGAACCCGTCTTCAATCTCATATCGAAAGAAGTTACGAATTTTTATGAATGTGACATATGGAACTCGGTTCCGAAAATTGCCTAATACAATTTCAAATGATAGTCTATGGGTGTTGACAACCAAATATATTTAAAACTAGACCAGTAAGTAATACATACCAATCACCCATTACAGTTTGTTACAGTAACATTCACACTTTCTACCCGTAGATGTCCCATCACTTTACGTTTAGACAAAGGATTTAAGACCAATTAGTCTACCCTTCGCACCACCCCATCAAAGGCTCTTTTCGTCATGATGGGATGGCTACCTATAGATCTAATGGCCCAAGAGGTTGCCCTCAGCGCGGCTATTAGACTCAACACAACTGGTATGTGGCATATGATTCAGTCAGGTCACTCTACCATTCACAATTGTCTAGGAGAAATCCCTAACAATATTGACTATTGCATTGCCAAACCATCTTTTGATAGAAGCGTTTCATTGACTATCCAACACGACCCAAATGTGATGGAAACAATCCTTCATGGCGGATCGTATAAGGTATTTACCGATGGTTCAAAATCAAACCATAGTGTAGGCGGTGGCTTTTACATAGCACATTCGGGAACGGAAGTTTCCTTCAAGCTTCCTGACCAATGTAGCGTTCTTCAGGCTGAGCTGTCAGCCATAAAACGGGCTACAAGCTGGCTCAGGTTTTACCGAATATATGGTGTTAATATTCGAATATATACCGATAGCCAGGCAGCCTTTAAGGCTCTAAGAGTGTCTACACAACATCAAACTATAATGCCGGGTTCCCCACTTGCAAGAGATCATACCGATCCCTTCGTCGACATACTGCTTTCAACCTACAAACAGTCTCTACGTGAAAAATTATATGAGCTTGCGCAATGCGGATGGTCGACTGAGGCCACCTGTAGACAGACAAGGATCATGTGGCCATCATTCAATCCACAAAGATCCCAAGCCCATTTCCATATTCCGAGAGCCAATCTACGGAACGGCGGTGGTGGCTGGAGTAATGACTTCTGCAGGAGCTGCCAGGATGAAGAGGAAGAAGAGAGTATAAATCTCTTCCACTGTCAATGTCCCGCCCTAGCAGATCATAGAATTGGTCTGCTAGGTAGCTACTTTTTGCATCACTTAGCGGATATATCGGAGATTGACATCCGAAAGATAGATTCCTATATTCGTGCGACAAACTGGTTCGGTTTAGGAAACCAGAGTAATAAGGTCGAAGTGTACTAATACGCTGACCGTTTTCTCTCGTTTCAGGTATGACAAATAGATTACACTAGACCCAAGTGTATCCCTAGTGAAGACATCGCGAGGATGACCTGCTAACCTAACCTATGTAATCGAGATGGTATTCTATTCTAGGTAGGTAAGAAATACACCTAGGCCACTATCGGGCCTGTTGTGCGCTCCTTATCATGAAAAAAAACTGAAAGAATTATTTTTCAGTGTTCAGAAACTCAGTTTTCTGAACGTAATTCCTAAGAATCTTCCAATCAGTGTTAGTCAGGAATGTTATTTCCGGAATAACATCACTTCCAAGATACTTGGATCTAACTTCGACGAATGCCTGGCAGTGGCAAAGAAAGTGCTCCAGAGTTTCACTGTCCTCTCCACATGCTCTACATTCGTCTGAATCCGCACGTCAAATTTTGCACAGATGTGCTCGTAGTCCTGTGTGTCCACTCAGAATACGTACCATCATACTAACTTCAGACTTGCTCATTTTGAGGAGATTTTTCGTCTTGCTCTCTTCGTGGTTCTACCAACCGTTTCATTATTCCAAGAGGCCTTATGGGATTCTCTCATCCATATTTTTAATTCAGCTTTTGTTGCGTCGAATGGGTTTGCGTTTGTCAGGTTAACTACATCGAGCTCCCTTCCCTTTAAAGCTATTACATTCGCCCTTTCGTTGCCGACTACTCCCGAGTGGGCTGGTACCCATATGATGTGAACCTTACCTCTGGGAGAGTATTCAGTTAAAGCTTTCTTACAATCCAATACGGTCTTAGATTTAATTCTATTACCAGATATCGCCCTAATTGCCTTCTGGCTGTCGGTAAATATATTAAGCCCTGTGGGCGCCATATTTATTCTAATCCAATTTACACATTCCGTTATTGCTCGTACTTCTGCCTGGAAGCTTGTGTTATGATTAGGTAAACGGTGGTATATTTCTGTTTCTGGGTCTCCAATATAGAACCCCAAGCCCACTTTATCCCCTAATTTAGAGCCATCCGTGTAGCAACGGATTCCTACTGGTATTTGCTCTAATGTTCCGCTTGACCAAGACATTCTATCTGGTATTAGCGTTTCAAAGTTTCCGACATATTCTGTGTCTGGTATGCGATCAGGCACGTCCGATGAATGTGTAAAACCTTCCAATGTGTCCAGTATACATTGATGACGTGTCCTATAAC